GACCGCTCTAACCCGAGACACCGCTCAGCCGGCCGGTCCGCCGCGGCCAAGTGTCGGCCCTGAGCGACTCCTCCCAGGTCGAGTCTAAATCCTTCTGTCGCCAAAGGGCCGCCTTCCGGCGTGTCCTGGGCACCAGGAACGGCCCCACCTGGGGGCTCCCGGGCGTCCTCCCCCGGGTGTTGAGACAAATCGGCGAGGCCCTGCCTTCGCCCGCCCCTGAGACCCGAGGTGCTGAGCTGCGCCCAGAGGACGCGGGGGGAAGGGAGCCGACCAGTGGCCATGTGACTGCACGAGCAGCGGGAGTGACAGCGATGGGGAAAGAGCCAGGGAACCAGCCGGTGCTGTACCCGCTCCGCCCCAGGCAGCAGGGCTCGCTAGGACACAGGTCCCCGAACCCCAGGAAGCAGGCACAGGCTTCAGGTTAGGAAATGCCGGAGGCCGGGCTGTGAGCAGTTCAGTGTATTTATAACCGCCGCCTGTTTCCCGATCCTCTGGCCACCGCGGGCGTGATCGCCCCAGCAGGCCCCCTAGTGGCCCAGAAAGGAACTGACTGCAAATAGCTGCCTGGGGTGGCCAGGCCCAGGTTACCCCCGGCACCTGCCCGGAGCTGCATCCCGCGGCGCTCCCCCGAGATCAGCACTCAGCGGCTTCTCTCCGCAGGGCTCCTTCAGTGGCCGCTGTCCCCTGTATGGCGTGGCGGCCTTGAACCGCTCCTCCCTGGCCTTATCCAGAGGCTCAGCCCCCTCCCTCTGCTACTTTGTGGCTGGGGCCTCTGGCCTCCTGGCCCTCTACTGTCTCCTGCTTCTGCTCTTCTGGGTCTACAGCAGCTGCATCGAGGACTCCCAAAGGTGACTGCCCCACTCTGAGGGCCAGGGGCGAGGTGGGGGGAGTCCCACCTCCACCACAAGGCTGTTCTCTCCCTCCTCATAGAGGCCGGATAGGGCTCCGCATTGCACTGGCCATCTCGGCTATAGCCACCTTCCTGGTCTTAGTGTCGGCCTGTGTCCTTCGGTTTGGCACCAGTTCTCTCTGCAACTCCATCACCTCTCAGAACGCTACAATTAGGTAATGGGAGATGGGGGAAGCCTGACCCCGTGGGGCCGACTTCCCTCTGCAGAGGGGGTCCTGTACTCCCGTTTTATTCCAGTGGATTATTCTCATCTCAAAGGGCGCTCAGGCACAAGAGTATTTATTTGGGATATATCCCCCCCTTTCTCACAACTGTCTTTTTGACCTCACAGCTGCTCTGAAGCCCAGAAAATTCCATGGACACCCCCTGGAACTGCTCTGCATTTTTACTCCAACCTACACAATGCTGAAGTGAGGTCTTGGGATATGAAGGACTGAGTGGAGGCCCAGGGATATGCAGATTCGTAGAGGCACCTGTATAGTTTTAGGGGTGCCCACCAGTGAGGCTGAGAAGAGCTGAAGGGCTTGGCAGCCTGGCAGCCAGCAGTTCAGAGCGATGTGTGGGCGGAACTGGATTGAGGTGACCCCGCTCCTCACACCTGTTCCTGTCTCCCACAGAATTCTTCTTGGGTCAATCTGGTATTGTGGTGTGTGGTCCTGGTGCTCCAGGTCGTGCAGTTGAAGTCTGAAGCCACCCCATACCGGCTTCTGGAGAGGGGGGACCCTGAATGGAGCTCTGAAACAGATGTCCTGGTTGGGCCACGCCTTTCCCCTTCCTGAAGAGCAAGCAAGCTGAGTGCTTCCTGCAGCCATTGGCTCCCTGCCCAAGTGCCTGCAATCCTCCTGCCCCCTTGGCCCTGTTATGCTGAGATCCTCAGTTCCCTCGAAGAGGGAAACATGAAGACAGCCCCCCTCCACCTCTTCTTACAGCTGTTTTTGTACCAGAATATTATATGACTTCCTTCATCTTGGTGCTGAGTCCTTAGTATGAAAGCACTGTAGCCAGATGGATGGGAGGAAAGAGTAAAGGCTAAACAGGTCAAGAGTACATTCAGGTGTCTGCCCTCGGAATGACTGCTTTTATTTGCTGCTATGTAATCTTGGGCCCCCTTGTATTAATGTGGTTGTCACCCCACCCCTAGGGTTCAGTTGTGTGTTTAATTATCACCTGAGGATTTGTTTTTACTGATTTTAGAGAAAGGGCAAGGGAGAGAAACATCAATGTGAGAGAAATATCAGTTGCCTCCCATATGCACCCCAACCAGGGATGGAACCCACACCTGGGCATGTGCTCTGACTAGAATCGAACCCAAGATCCTTCCCTTTTTAAAAATATATCTTTATTGATTTGATTTCAGAGAGGGAGAGAGAGAGAAACATCAATGATGAGGATCATTGATCGGCTGCCTCCTGCATGATCTGGGATCGAGCCTGCAACCCGGGACATATGCCCTGATGGGGAACTGAACTGTGACCTCCTGGTTCATAGGTTGATGCTTAACCACTGTGCCACCGGCGTGCCCAAGATCTTTCCATGCACTGGGACAATGCTTCAACTGAGCCACACTGGGCAGGACCTAAAGGTTATTTTTATTCCCCTCCTGGAGGGGTGCGTGTCCCCAGGTGGCTTTTTCACAAGCTACGGTAGGCACCCACAGTGTTGTCAAAGAGTTTTGTGTTAGGAAAATATCCAGCTTTGTCCAAGAGGAAGTAGAAGCATCGGCCTTTGACCTTTAGAGGCACCATGGCAGGGACTTCACCCCGGTGGGCCATGCAGGATACTTGGTTCAAGGGAACAGTGAACTGAGCTCCCAAGCCAAAGGGGGCGTGAGTGGTGAGGGTCACCCGCTTCCCTCCAGCCTGCAGTATCACCGAGCGCACAGAGCGCAGGGAGAAGAGAAGTCCGGCGGCGAGGACCAGGGTACCTGCAGGGAGGAGCAGTGGGGTGAAGGGTTTCCGGGAGATCTAGCAGCAGCCCCCTCGAGCCCTCTGAGTAACAGACGTAACATTTACGGACCCCAGATCCTTGGTTACTCATTCCTCCCAACACTACTTAATAGATGCCCAGCCCCATTTTAATGAGAAAACAGGTCCCGGGCCGCAGTAACTTGCTCAAGATCGCACAGCGAGTGGCTGACCTCAGCCTAGGCCTGTCTGTCCGAGGGCTCGGTGCTCGG